TACTACAATATCAAGTACATACATTTTTTTTTTTTTTTTTTTCAAGAATAATAAATTACATAATATTCAACATTAAAATTATACACACGTTTCCATTCGTAAATTGAATATATTCGATATCACAACACATCCCCTGTCTTGAAGGACTTTCCAATGTTGTATACGATTGAAGATATCTGCTGCTGTGTCTTTTAGTATACGACGGTTCCCAGTCAGATTACCGCTGTGCCCTTGCGCAGGCAAGCCAGCATAAACATCCACTTCTATAACACATTCTCAGACATAATAAAATATATAGATTATAACAGCAGAGTATTCTACACCGCAATTACCACGAGCCGGAGAGGACTTTCCTACATTTGAAGTATTTAATCCTTTGGGCCTCGGCGAAGCAGACATTATGAGATGGATTTACGCACGAATCGAGCTTTTGTAGGTTGATATTAATGCCATTTGGTCTGTAGTAGTCCGATTCTTACTTGATTACTGTCAATGGTCCTTCACATTTTAGCRCTATTTTTGCACGCCAATTGACAAATTTAAGAATTAAAGTTTCATAAGAAACATCAAATACTCGGACAATTTTAGAATCTCAAAATGAAAATTACATAATTATTTCTAGCTATATTCCGTATATTCAAATACTCGTTTAAAATTGTATATCTATAATAAATTAATAAATATTAAATAATATGTGWGGCAGACGGGCAGTAGGACGTACTAATACTACTAATAGTACTATTTACTATCACTATATTACCGGTACAGAAKAGATAGTACCGGACACGTGTTTATTAATTTATTTGTCATGTACACCTACATGGTCCTTATCAATGTCGATTTTCTGATGAAACCGATTATTCAAAATTACATAATATTATTATTATCGATAATTTTCTTTAAATAAGTAATTTTATGTTTGGAGTTCACTGTTCACTGATCGATGATATTTGGAAAACSAAAGTTTAATTTGAATCAAATAATTTTTAAATAATTATTTATTACCTGTAATAAACTGAAGTTAATTTAAAGCAAACTTTTTATCGAYCATACTCGGCAGCACTGAATATCGATGTTTAATAATTCCAATTAAACGATTTTAAAAATAATATTGTATTCTTGGTTATGTAATTATTACTTTATTAGTTTTCTACATTTTAAATATTTAAATATTATTTAATTTATATTTTCTATTTAATATTGTAAACATTTTACGATTTTAAATTTTTAAGTTTAAACTGTTAATACTTATGGTATTTGCGATTTGTTGAAATAATAATTAAACATACGTTCGTATTCCTTATTAATATTTCAAGTTAAAAGTTGTGACCTGTGTTTTCGTGTTTGAATAATAATATTAAATTGTGCTTATTAAAATTTAAGCATTTTACTTAACCCATTTTATAATATCAATATGACGTTTTGTATGGCTGTTAGTGAAAAAACGGTAGTAGTATCTTCAATAGATGTTGATAAATGTTTTGTGTATTCATTAGACAGTGGAAACGTAAAAAATCTCACTGAAAGTTTGGGCGAAGCTTATAAAAACATTCCAATCAACAACCGTGACTTGCAAAAAGCGTGTGCAGCRTTTTCAGCTGATGGCCAACTGTTTGCATACAACCCCAACAAAGGTAAACTTCTAAGCATCTGGAACACCACAGACTGGACGTTAGTTGAAAACAAAACACTTGCAAAACATGCAACAAACATAGTTTTCACACCAAAGACTAATGTAATTATTGTTGGTGATAAAAAAGGTGATGTTTATGCATTTGAAGAACTACCTGTCCGAATTCTGGGTCATTCGTCTATGATTCTTGACATTTGTATTAGYGAGAATGAAAAGTATATTGTTACATGCGACAACGATGAAAAAGTACGTGTCTCGCACTATCCAAATGGCAAAAACATTGTGCATTACATGATGGGGCATGAGGCRTATGTTAGTGGAATTTGTTTATTGAACAATTTTATCTTATCTGGCTCTGGTGACAGTACACTGCGTTTGTGGGATTTCGATAATGGTGATCTTCTTGATAAACTTACTCTACAAAATGCAATTCAAAGTGTCATTGAAATTGGTGATTTAGCCGCTATTCAATTATATAACTCTAAAGAAGTACATATCATTAAAACACTGAAAAAAGATAACAAATGGAATATTAAAAATATTAAAACTATTCTGTTAGAAAACAATGTATTGGATTTGGCAGTATATCGTAATCAATTGTGGATTTTAACAGGTAAATCTGTTCATAAGTACACTATTGATGCTGATAATGAAATCATTTTAAAAATTGAGGATGCTGAAATGTYACATRCATTTGAAACATTAAGTAATTTAGTTAAATCATTTGTATACATGGAAAATACTAATTTGATGGTTTTTCTTTTTAATAAAATGATTGATAAACAAAAAAGGATTGAACAAAATATGAACAATTGTAGTCCTCCTGTATTACAAAATACAAAAAGACTTAAAACCGCATAAAAATTGTAACATTTAAGTTATGTATTTGTTAATACTGTAAGACTGTTAGAAGTTATTATTTTTATTCTGATTAAGTAATTAAGTTAATGTGTTACAGCCAAATTATGTTTGTAAATATTTTATATAGTCTTAAATTCTAAAGTGTAACATGAATATATTTAATATGTAATTCTTAAACTAATATTTGTTGCTTACTAATGAGCAATTGTGTATTTATGTCATATACATTAATTAATCTGTTCAACTTCAGTATCCCAGAAAACACGCCATTATGACTTATGAATACTTATTTATTCTATTACAAAATTACATTTAGTTTGTCATTAAGTGCAAGTGATGCATACATAGTTCTTTAATTACACATTCAATGAATACTGTCAGTTAAGAAACAAATWTAATACAAATATTTTATCTATCTATCTACCTATATTAATATTAGTATATAATATATATGCATAATGCAAAAAAAAATTGACCAAAAATAATACAATAAATTGATGAAAAAGTTTTTGTTTTTATTTTTTTTTTCCTTACTAGCTTATGCTTGTCATGAAGACATCCTTATCTTAGGTAGTGTTTTATTGGTGGTCTCAAATTGAGATGGTAGAGTGCATTGAACCTGCTGACTTTGAATAGACTTGAAGAAACTGTCAAGTCAATTTTTCAATCAGGCCGTGAAATTTTTGAATTTTTAGGTGTTGGTGTATGTTAAGATTTCTTTATGGAGTATCTGTTATTATTTAAATTTTTTTATTTAAAAAGAAAATTTACAATCTCTTTTACAGGTCAGTTATAATAAGCAAATTTGAGCATAAGAATAAATGATTTTACAACTTGAAAACGTGAGGAGGGAGACCGCCCAGTGATAGAACCCAACGTTAATTTTTTTTTTTTTATTAATTATTAACTTAAATTAAATGATTTGATAACTGTCCATCATTTAATAAGTCACGATACCTTTTTCTCTTTAGACGGCATGGGGGGAATGTTAGGAAGCAAGTTCAGCTATTAAAGGATTAATGTGAAATTGTAATTTTTTGTAATGTTTTGTGGCCAATCGATTTACCGTTTCTATTTTGAACTTTTGAAGTACCTATAGAATTTGATACGTACCACCAAGGTGCAGAAGATATAATGCGGAGTGTAATGATTGGGGAAGACTTGGATGGTAATTATTGTTCTGAAGATTTTATTTTGAAATATTAAATATTTGCTATTTTAGATTCTGAGCGGAGCGAGGAATGTATTGATTTTACCTTGATTTGTGTTTTTTTATTTTATTATTTTTTTTATGTGTCATCACGTTTTGGGGCAGTAAAAATGCTTCGACTTTCGACTTCAGTACATTGCTAGATCATAAAGTGAATATAGTTGGTACTTTGGGGGGTCAAATGTAAAAAACTTCTCAATATTTTTCTTAATAATCGGGATAAACAAACTAAAAATTAA